TTCTTTCTTTCTTTCTTTCTTTCTTTCTTTCTTTCTTTCTTTCTTTCCTTCTTTCCTTCCTTCCTTCCTTCCTTCCTTCCTTCCTTCTTTCTTTCTTTCTTCCTTTCTTTCCTTCTTTCTTTCTTTTTTTTAAGGCAGGCAGGGTCTCATGGAGCCTAGCCTAGCCTCAAGCTTGCTGTGTAGCCTAGGATGACCTTAAACTTCTGACCCTCCTGCCTCTACCTTCCAAGTGCTAATTACAGGCCTGTGTCCACCACGTCTGGTTTTATGTGGGGCTGGGGGACCAAACTCAGGCATCCCCAGCCCTACTCTTTGTATACCCCTTATTATACGATGCTGCCGCGTTCTGATTACACGTCTGATTTCTCTGCTAGATTATGAGTTGCCCTCTCAGAATGGTTTAGATGTGGTTTTAAAACAAGGTCGCTAACCTGCAACAGCTCACTGCTTTGAACTCCTGGGGAACAACTTTAGTGACTCAACAGGTGTTTGTTGAATAACAAATGAGTCCATTTCTAACTAGCGGCTGTTTGGTCTTCAAAGTTCAAGTAGAATGCTTCTCTGTCTCCACAGCCTTCGACTGTCCTATTTCTCAGCCTGAGAACATACGGGCTATTACTACAGAAATTAGGAAGACTTCTTTAATTGGATATGAACTTCCTGGAAGGCATAGGTACACACTTATCATTTGTATATGGGCCTTGACAATGGTGCCGAGCAAATTAAAAACTGAACAAATATTGCTTTCTAAGGAAAACCGTGGTGGCTGATAGCCAGCCAGGAAAACTGCAATTTTCTTCATACAATTTTAGTCTGAAAATTCAGAACAAGTTCCTGCAGAAACAAGTATTATGAGCTCCTATTAGGTTTCCTGACCTCAGAACAATTGTGGGTAGAGACATGAACTCTATCGGTAGAGAAATTCTTCCCAGGTAAAATTAGTATTGCTTCATAGAAGCCACATACGTGACTTTGACTTTGTGTGTGTATACATGTTTTGTGTGTGAGCATGTGTGTACGAGTGTGTGAGTTCCTTTTCATGCACGGGGTCAGAAGGTTGAAGTCACACCAGATGTCTCTCTCCACTGCTGTCCACATTATTTACAGAGGCAAGGTCTCTTCTGAACCTGGAGCTCAGCCGTTCTGTCTGGTCTGGCTAACACCTGGGAACCTTGCACATGTGTGGGTTCTGGAGATCTGAACTACAGTCCTCATATTTTCATTTTAATCCACTGAGCCACCTCTCAAGCTTGGAAATATATAGAATTGTAAATTTTTGCCTGGCTGCCAGTTTTGGGTGGCTATTGGATTACATTGATGCGGGAAGGGGTACTTTATAATCCTGATTGAGTTTTTGGGGTGGTGCACTGCATTGGTTCTTATAGCTGAGACTGTCACCAGGGAGGAATGGGAAGAATGTCTCCTTGAGTGATTTGGCTTTTTTTTTTTTTCCTTAAAAAAATCAGTCTGTGCCCAGAAACCAGCGAGTTGGACTGGACCGCCCAAAAATGTGTGTGTGCTGTACTCTAAGGGCTCATCAGCTTACTTAGGCTGACCAGAAGCCATGGAGCGGCATGTGTCACGTCACTAGAATGACACTTCACAAGCTTGCTGACCAGAGTCCCGGGCAGTGTTATCAGTCACATTTAAAGGAGACGATCGGACACCACCATTCCCACTCTTTCTGGTATCTTTGGCCAATTGTCTAACTCATGGTTTAAACGTAAGGTGAATCTCCTGCATTTCTGGTTTTGCTTGTTTGTTTGTTTTTAACACTCAGATGGTGTCCTCTGCCTTATACTCTCTCAGACGACGAGAACCAGTATTAACTGCTCACACCAAGTGCAGGGAACAACACCAGGAGTCAGCTTCACTCTGCACCTTCTCCTCAGGGTTCTCAATGCCCTGCACACTCCGAGGGGCTTCTCCGGTAATTAGCTAGGAGAATGTCCCTGAAAGTGAAGCCTTCCTCGCCCACTCTTTATTCAGGGGTTCATTCAACGTTCCTGAGTGACTAGCAGAGGTCAGAAGCGACGCTTGATGCTCCAGACTCAAAACCATCCAAACCCTGTTTGAAGGTCAGTTGGGGTAACCTGATAGTAAACGGTCTACATCACTGTGAAGATAATATTGGATATGCTTTAGGTTACCCTTGAAAGCAAAATTTGATATATGAATACGTCTTTGGGTCAGAATACCTTCCATTAGTATGTACATATAAGATACAATTATTCATATTAATATGATTGCTTTATAGTATGAATATTATGAAAGAAAAAGATGAAATACTGTTGCCTTACAGAAAACAAAGGTCATGTAGTAACAATATCATATTCTAGCAGTGATTAGGGGATTAACGAAGCATAGAAACTCTTCAAGGACTCTGAATACTGGCAAATCTCCACAAAAGCAAGGTATTTTAGCGGCGCCATTCACGTTACCATATGGTAATAAGAGAGGTGGCAAATATCACCTGGGAAACTAAGGCTGGTTCCAGGTTCTGTGGGACCACAAACATAGAAGGGAAAACTTAAAAGTATAGAATAGCATTAGGACATCAAATTAGAAACAGCATCTGTAGGCCGGCCCTGAGGCTTCTGCCTGGAGACCTCCCAGAATAGCTAACTGTGGTGGGCACAGCAGGGGTGTCTTTAGGGCCGGGAAGACGGTGCAGGGGGTAAAGCACTTGACTTACAAGCATCAAAATAAAATCTGAGATACCCAGAAGCCATGTGAAAGCCAGGTGTGGTGGTATCCGTCTGCTCTTCCAGTGTCCCGTTAGAGAGATGGGAGGTGAGGGCAGAGAGCTCCCAGAAACTCAGGACCAACTATGCGCACACACGCATACACACACACACACACACACACACACACACACACACGCATACACACACACAAACACACACACACACACACGTGTGCGCGCGCGTGTCATAAACATTCCTATATTCATTAATTATACTAGGGAAAGACTCGGGAATTAGGGAGAACAGTGTTTTATATACATAGAATGAATTTTTAAAAACTGACCTTACCCGCCATGTTATTCTATCTCAAAAGCTATCAGCCATTATATTATTACCTGCCTCCCTGTTTGCTTTTAATTTTCTGAGACAAGGTCACAAGTGGTCCAAACTGGCCCTAAACTCATTGTATGACTGAGATTGGCCTAGAACTCCAACCTGGCTTCCATCAGCATCCACACATATATACATATACATATGTTTTGTTTTGTTTTTAATCTTAAAAATATATAGCTTTTAGAAGAAAAAAACTGAGAGAGCGTCTTATGTAGACCAGACAGTCTTGAACTCTATAGTAGTCAAAGATGGCCTGGGACAACTGATCCTCTGGCCTTTCCCTCCAGAGTGCTGGAGTTCAAGCTTATGCCTGCATATTTGGTTCTCTGTGGTGCTGAGGGAATCCAGGACTTCTGGCATGCTAACTAGATGAGCACTCTACCAGTCCAAGAATTTTATTTTATTTTATTTTATTTTTGCAGTCCTGGGGTGAGGGGTAGAACTCAGGCCCTCACACATCCTGGACAAATAATCTCCCTGCACTAAGCTACAGCCTTAGCCCTAGAACAATCTGAGCTACTTACAGAGCCAACGTTAGGCTCCTGTCTTTCATCCTAGCTCCATGTCTCAAAGGAAGTGTGGGGTTTTCTGGAACAACAATCATGGTAGACGGAGAGCATTGTCACGCCACTCTCTGGCTGTTTTTACCTTACTTGGGGCGGTGGAATTCCTACCACTATGCAATCCAACTGGACTCGGCTTCCTTCGGGAACTTCTCGGCTCCGTAACTTTTGTGTGAAGCGGGGAGGCTGCCCCAGAGGTTCTTCGTAGTACAGGGACGAAGGTGAAGACCCCGGGGTGCTGTCTCCAGCAGCAGCCTCACCCGCAGCCAACTCAGCCTCCCGCCTCTTAGCTTCCCGCTGTTCTATCGCGTGGTTCAGCTCGTTGTCCCTGCTGTCTGCAGGGATAGGGATGGGTACCGATGCTCTTTCCCGCCTCTCTGTCAGATCTGAGAAAGCGGGGCTGTTTTCCTGCAGGACTTTGTTTTGAGATTCCGGTTTGCTCTTGTGGTTTTTGCAGGTTCGAGGTCTGATCCTCTTGGAGCTGTGAGCCTTGAAAATGGAGGACAGCTCTTCGATGAAGTCGGCGGCCTTGTTTAGGAAGACTTTCTTAGACTGGCTTTCAGAACTGTACTGTGGCCTCTTTGTCTCCGGGGGACTGTCTTTAGAGCTGCCAGGACCTCGAGGGCTGTCTTGGCAGAAGGCAGGTTCGAAGCTTGGTTTGGGCGAAAGCTTCGTCTTGTCAGAAGACAGACGTTTCCTAGCTTGAGCTTCATCCACTCTCTCCAGAGGGTCGTGGTTGATGGCCAGCCTTGCCAGATTGACACTCTCATCCAGCTCTTCTTGGCTTAGGAAGGCCGACAGATCCGGAAGGTCCTCTTGCCCTCCTCCTTCGGCAGCCCCTGAAGGACTGCTGAAGTGGAAAGGGTTGGAGGAAGGCTCCGCTCGACTCCGCTCGTTGTCCCCGCGATGTCTGGTTTCAGCCAGATAGCTTTCTCTGAGAAGCTGAGAGATGGAAGTAGATGCTTCTATGCTGTCGTCCTGCATGCTGTAACAAAGCAATGGGCATAGCAAAATAAATAAATAAATAAATAAATAAATACATAAATAAAAAATTCCGACCACTGTCACGGAATAACAAGGCTGTATTCACTATAGCACAGACTTAAATTATGTAAGAAATGCTTAAATCACCTAATGTTGACATGTCCACAAAAGTAAGACTTAACAATGCCGCCTCATTGTAAAAGGAAGTGAAACCCAATGAAGTCTCCCTGAAATTAAAAGTAAAATTCTGCTGGGTGGTGGTGGTGCATGCCTTATTTAATCCCAGCACTAGGAAGGAAGAGGCAGGTGGATTTCTATGAGTTCTGGGCCAGCCTGGTTTTCGTAGTCAGTTCCAGGACAACCAGGGCTATGTTAGAGAGACCCTGTCTCATAAATCCAAAACAAACAATGAAACAAACAAACAAAAATGCCTGGGAATTTCTATTTCAATACTTTCTTTACATTAAATTCAATTGTATGAGCTATGAGAGAACCATAGCAATTTTATACAGTGTCGGGGCTGGAGATGAAACTCAGAGGTAGAATGCTTACCAAAAATGTGAAGAAAGAAAATTCTAAGCCTAATTTATAAAATCACATTTATTTATCTATTTATCTATTCATTTATTCATTTATTTATTGCTGTGTAGGCCTATATGTGCCATGGAGGGTCCTTCTTCCACCATGTAGGCCCAGGAAGCACACTTGGGCTTGACTGCAAACACCTTTCCCCACTGAGCCATCTCGTCGACCTATCTGAGCCTGATTTTGCTAACAGTTGCAGTGGTCTTCGTGGTGATGGTGTGCAGATCTGTTCTGCATCCTTTCCTCGTTCTTGCCAATTTTGCTAACTTGAGGATAATAGGATTACAGAAAAATAAAAGAAGCTGACAACATTGTCCCATTTAATTGCTGAAAATGTAGTCTTGGTATCTATGGCTCATGAAAAGAAACGATGTTTGTGTTGTTTGACTAGAGACAAGCTGTTTAAAGCTAGTGTTGCTGCTGGGCTCAGTCTGCTCTTGAAAGCTAGGATAATCTGGCCTTCTTGTTGAGTCTACGCTGTGGGGATTTGTCTTTTTAGATTTAAAATTTAAAAAAAAATCATTTGTATGTCTGTGTAGAGTCTGTCCACAAGTGCCATTACTGAAGAAGGCCAAAGGCAGCAGCTCCCAGTGTGGGCACTGAGAATAAAACTACGCCGTCTGCAAGAGCAGTGTGCTCTTAACGGCTGAGCCCTCTCTCCAGCCCCAAGTCTAGGTTTTTAAGAGTGTCTTAAATTAGCGCTAGTTAAGAGAAGACATGAGAGGTAGCAGAATATAATGCTTGGCAGGGGACTTAACATACCTGAGTGCCAGTCTTAGTTTGTAAATTATGAATATATGAATATATCACCTCTTGAAAATGAATACTTTTAAAACCTTTAGGAAATACATGAGGCTCATCGGTTAAGAGAGTACTTGTTCTTTCAAAGGACATGGATTTGATTCCCAGCACTCACATGGAGGTACTAAACATATGTGTCGGTACAGACATACATGCAGGCAAAGCACTCACATGGATAAAATTTTAAAAATCTAGAAAAAAATAGAAAAAGAAAGAAAGAAAATAGTACAGTGTGATTTGTACTGGTGATGTCACCCAGGTATTGATTCAGCCACTGCCTAGAGAGAGGGCTAGCAAACTTGTCTCTTAATTCTCTCCCATCCTGAACAGATGCTACAACCTTCCCATTGACCTTGACTTACTTAGCATCCCACCCTTTAGCTCCACCCACCCTCAGACGTGACGACTGAATGAAGACTACTTGCCACTCTTTGCTACTAGGTACTGGCCTTGTCCTGGAAAGATGAGGGTGTAAATAATACCCTAAGATTCACGACAAAGCCTATTTCAGTCCGTCCCTCTCTTCTGCCTGGCGCAGTAGTCCCTCACTTACATCACACTGAAGGCTTCCTAGGAACTCCCCTGGCTCCCAGACTTTCACAGTGCTATCCCAAACTAACCTCTCAACTGGCAAAGTAGGCAGTCACCTTGAGAGGGCAGTTAGAGAGGGCTGGAAAGATCGCATGCAGTGAATGGCTTTGCGTGCTCTTGCCAGAGCCTGGGATGGTTCCGACTGGAGTTACTTCAGTGAAGTCTGTTGTGTCTTCAAAGGTGATGAATTTAAAATTCATGGGTGTTGGATGAAACCATTACCTTAGTCTAGAAAGATGGTCGTTATGATACAGGTGCTAATATGAAAACTGAAGCTATTTTCAGTAAGATTTAGTTAAGCAAATTATGATATGTTCACTTACTAGAATAGTTTTAAATTTTGTAGAATGATAATATGCAAGATAGCCCATGAAAGCAAAGCTAAAATGTTAGTTGAAAATTTTCATTTGTGCATGAACTCTGTGGAAGAACAGATGCAGGAAATAAGGCTCAAAATGCTATTTGAAAGCTTATTTAATATCCTGATTATCACCAATAATTCATTAATCAGTTCTTGTAATTACCCATTTGTTATCCATGACTTCTTTAGCTCTGCTTGAGTTTCTGAATATGCTGAAGTGCGAGGGTGAAAGCTAACACTGCTTAGACAGTGGGAGCCTTTCTGTTTGAGGGGTGTTATTGCTTGTGACAACGTCGTAATGTAACTTTGTCATTAGCTCTGTGTGTTTGCACTGACTTAGATCTGGAGTCAACACAGAAATGAGCATTGGCCTTCGAATTAGGGAGATCTGAGTTCAAATTACAACTTCCTCTCTTAGCAGGAATGTGACTGAGACTTCGCTGTGACTTTGAGTGCGCTTCCCTTATCTCCACGTAATCTCTCTCTCTCTCTCTCTCTCTCTCTCTCTCTGTCTCTCTCTGTCTCTCTCTGTCTCTCTCTCTCTCTGAGAGTCAAGAAGAACAAAGTCAAGAAGGCAAAGCCCTTCACACATGACCTGTGCTTATGAGGATGCAACTGATATCATTTATTTATTTATTTGTTTGTTTGTTTGTTTGTTTTAGTTTTTTCGAGACAGAGTTTCTCTGTAGCTTTTGGAGCCTGTCCTGGAACTAGCTCTTGTAGACCAGGCTGACCTCGAACTCACAGAGATCCACCTGCCTCTGCCTCCCGAGTGCTGGGATTAAAGGCATGCACCACCACTGCCCGGCTATCATTATTTTTAAAGACATTTCTTTTCCTTTCTAAAACATGGCACAGACATTGATGATTGATGTTGAAGACATTTCAGAAAATTCACATTAGGGTGGAAGTGGAAGAAGAGACTAGTCACTGATTTCTATATAAGGTTTTTTTTTTTTAAGAAGCCAACTAAGATATGTGCGCTTGTTTTTATGTTTATGGTTCTGAAAACCATTCCAATAATAAGGCTTCCAAGTATTCAAAACATAGGATATCGGTAGTAGTTTAATGGTTTATGCCCCAAGATGTTGATGCTTGGTACTCAACATCTGTGGCTTCCTGGCCATCTTAAGTTGAGAAACCCTAACTTCTGGAAGCCTTCGTCTCAAGCTGTGAGACAGGGAAGGCAACAGTGGCCATCTCTGGGCTGCAGTGATGATTAAATGGTCTTGGCGTAAGGCATTTTTTAAACAACCAACAGAGGGTCGTTACTCTTGACTCATAACTGCCATGACCGCGCGTGGCCCCGTTTCGAGATGGAGCAATAGGAGCATTAGCGAAATAACTTCCTGGGAAGGACGTGGACCGTGCACTGGCCCCTAGCCTTGTCCTCACCCAGGCTGGGTGGATGTCTGTAATGTATGTCTGTATTCTGCTGAGATCTAAGCTCATGAATGAGCTGCCCTCACTTCAGAACACTGTAAATATTCTTTTCGATTGGCCTGCTCACTGTTCTCACATCTCCTTCCTCTCTTTAGACTAAATTCTGCATAGTTTGCAACTCTTAGGCAAGACATCACCACCCTCTCTCCAATATGCCTGAAAACCTCATGTTCTTATCGTCCAACACAGCTCTTAATGAAATCTACTGAATTTGTCTTTTTTCAATTGTCTCTTCTACACTGTTCTATATTCTCTCCACAGACAGAGAGCAGAAGGTTGTCAACAAATACCTGCTAATTGCTTTGTTCGCCAGAACTTCCCAACAGCTCTGTTTGTTATTTTTTTTTTAATTGCAGGGTTAGGTTGAAGAGATAAAATGACAAAAGAAGATGCATAGTCAAAAGAAAAACTAACTGATACAGAAAAAATGAAAAAAGGCTTTGTGCACTTTGGGCAAACGTTCTACCACTGGCTACAACCCTGCCACGTCCTCTAATAAGTATTAGTTGAGCATCTCCTATATGTCAGGTGCCATTCTAGGGATTGAGAATTCAGTGGCCAATAAAGGACAAAGCTTGCGTTTTTATGGAGCTGATTTCCTGGGGGAGGGGGGGTGATTGATACCAATGTTATAAACAAAAATACTGTAGGCCAACTGTGGTGTGGTGGCCAACTGTAAAGTGGGGAGGGTAGGCAAGAAGGGTGAGTTACTGGGAAGGCCAAGATAACCTGTGATGGAGACATCAGTAATCTGACCACCTGAGGAAAATATTCTTTACCTAGGAAGGAATGTCAAGGTCAGAAAGAAAACACATTTGTGGCATTGGAACAAGCCCTATGTACCCAGGAAACAAAAAAAGAAGAATGGAAGACACAAGGCTGGGAAAGTACAAGGCCACAGCGTACATGTGGTGGCTCAGGCCTGTGATCCCAGCATTTGGAAGGCTGAAACAGGCACAGCGCCATGGGTTCCAGCCTGGACTATGCAGTGAGCTCCAGGACAGCCTGAACTATAGAGTAACACCCCGTCTCTAATAATAATAATAATGAGGAGGAGGAGGAGGAAGAGGAGGAAGAGAAGGAGAAGGAGGAGGAAGAGGAGGACGAGGAGGAGGGGGATTGAAGGAGGAGGGGGAGGAGAAGAAGAAGAAGAGGAGGAGGAAAAGGAGGAAGAGGAGGAGGAAGGGAGGGAAAGAAGGAAGGAAAGAAGGAAGGAAGGA